AAAGAAAACGAGGGAGGGAGGGAAGGAACATATGCAAGTTTCTGGAAATAGGGATGCAAATAAGTTTATAGACGAGCACCACTCCAGCCTGGGTGGCAGAGGGAGACCCTACCTCTGAAGACAGTAGAACTCAGCCAGGTGCAGTGGCTCACGCCTGTAATCCCAGCACTTTGGGAGGCCAAGGTGGGTGGGTCACCTGAGGTCAGGAGTTCAAGACCAGCCTGGCCAAGATGGTGAAACCCTGTCTCTACTAAAAATACAAAAATTAGCCGGGCGTGGTGGTGTGCATCTGTAACCGCAGCTACTAGGGAGGCTGAGGCAGGAGAATCACTTGAACCTGGGAGGTGGAGGTTGCAGTGAGCCGAGATCGCGCCGTTGCACTCCAGCCTGGGGTACAAGAGTGAGACATCATCTCAAGAAAAGAAACAAAAAAACAACTCTGGTAAGCTAACAGTGGTCCTTCAAAGCTCCCAGGCCCTAACCTCTGAAACCTGTGAATAGGCTCTCTGGAGAAAGTCTGGCAGGTGCAATGAAGCTGAGGCTCCTGAGATGCAGAGGTGCCCCAGGATGACCCAGGCGGGCCCTAAATGCCCTCAAGCTTCGCCTTGGATTTTCCCTGTGGCGGCCACAGGGCTGGTCCCAGTGTGAGTCCGCCAGGCCTGCTGTGACAAAGTGTCCCACACTGGGTGCTTCAGCAGCTTACTGTCTCACAGACGTGGAGGCCAGAAGTCCAAGGTCACGGTGTTGGCAGGGATGGTTAAGCTTAGGAGGTTGAGACTGCAGTGAGCTGAGATCAACCCTAAATAATGAGATTCACAAAATAACAATGAAGCCTAGGGTTCATTCAAGCTTAAAGCTTGGGGACCATCACTCGGGAAACTACTCGGAAAGAATGGGCCAGTGCTCCAGAGTGGAAAGGGAAGTTCTCGCTTACATAGGCAGAGAAGGGAAGTTTAACAGAGTTGCAACGTTTTCCATACAAGATAGTGCATAGGTTACAGAGATTCTTTTTTTAGAGACAGAGTCTTGCACCGTTGCCCAGGCTGGAGTGCAGTGGCGTGGACATGGTTCACGGCGGCCTTGACCTGGGTGGGCTCACGCGATCCTTCTGCCTCAGCCTCTTGAATCGCTGGGACTGCAGGGTGCAACATCATGCCCGGCTAATTTCTGTAGAGTTTTACCATGTTGCCTAGGCTGGTCTCCAACTGGAGGACTCAGTTGATCCTCCTGCCTTGGCCTCCCAAAGTGCTGGGATTACAGGTGTGAGCCACGGCACCCAGGCTGGTTATAGTGATTTGATTGGTTACAGTTTGCCATATTCTAAGAAAGACGGAGTTAATATTCTATCAGGTAGGCGTGATGCCCTTATCTCTGGGCCATTCAGCCTTTCCTAGTCATTTACGGGACTTAATCTATAATCAGAGAAGCAGAATGTGCAGCGTCATGCTCTGTGCCTCAGCCCACAGAGGCACACTCCTCAGCACTCAAATAATGTCAAGTTCCAACAGCCTCCAGTTTGAACTGTTGAACGCCACATCTCCTTCTGGGGCAGAGGGGAACCTCGATCCCAGGCCTCCCCAGCTTCTGTGGGTTGCTGGCCAGGCTTGGGGGGGGTCCTTAGCTTGGAGAAGCGCCTTGTTCTCTGCCTTCACCCTAGCAGAGTGTTCTCCCTCTGCGTCTGTGTCCACACACCCTTCTGGTCAGGACACCAGTCACTGGGTTAGGGTCTAATGGCCTCATTTAGCTTTAATCGCCTCTTTAAAGATCCCGTTTCCAAATAAGGTTATATTCTGAGGTGGGAAGGGTTAGAACTAAAACACGTACATTTTCAGGGGACTCAATTTAGCCCATAGCTAAAACACACACCCAAAACACACACACACACACACACACACACACACAGTG